AGACTACAAATAGTCTTTGCTGGAATTTAGTTAGTTTATGCAATATTTAAATATTCAATATTTTATTGACTTAATGTTAAGCCAGACTTAACGCCTCGTCGTCTGACTGCAGTATCTGAACTGCAGCATCAAGAGACGTTGCCTCACACTAAATTTGCCAGCTCTGACTGGAGCATTTGACCTCCTTTGGTTGTGCTTACTTACATATATATAGATATTGATATAGTGGAGTGCATATGTATACAAACACATACATATCTATATATATATATCTATATATATATATATATATATATATATATATATAAAAGTAATTATATGCGTACACACAAATATAATTACAACGCTTTCATGGAGACTCTTGTGGGCGGCATAGACCAAATGCGCATAGAAGACAAGCACACAGCTATGCACGCACACACACATAGACACACACACATAGACACAGGCCATTTCGATTAAATTTCTGGCACGACCGCGACTTATCGGTCCAAAGCTGGGCGTTGGGCGTTGGGCGTTGGTTGGTCGTGTTGGTGTCTGTTGGGTGCGGCATTAGTGGATTCTGGTTGCTCATTTAAAGCGCCATCCAAGGGACATTACATTTTATTTCGGCAGCGCGCACGCTTTCGAATTAACTTGCGGCCTCATTTATTGCATTCCGAAAATGATTTCGTATAATTTTGCCGTTAACGCGTAAAATTTTAATGCGCCGAGAACTCAACTTTGGCCAGTGGCGGCAGGTGGCGTGCGGCGTCTGGCGTGTGGCATTCAGACCAATTCCGAGTTATAGTAACAGTTTTCGTATTAGCTGTATAATTAGCTTACCAAATCAAGTTGTTTTTAATGCCCAGCAGCTGCTCCACAGAGCGGGGCTCAAGGGCACTCGGCTTGAATGGTGCTTGGACTGAAATATTAGATCAATTGCCATGGAAATATATATATCAAGCAGCAGCAGAGGAGTTAGAGGGGGCGAGGGCGAGGGCGAGGGCGAGGCAGACACTAACAATATGGCATAGGTAATCAAATTTATTGCGATTATTACATATTCTGCATGATAATGCAGGGCTCTTGCCACTCGCCACTTGCCACTTGCCATTTACCGCTGTCAGTGTCAAGTGGTTGCCAAGTAGCCGCAGAGTGTGTGTGTGTGTGTGTGTGGCATGCATAATTTATGGCAAACAGCCTTTAGCTGTGGGCCGACTGCCGGCAGCATGGCTGCAGTCATGCAACCTGCCTGGCTCAGTCGCCCGCTGTGCCACGCCCACTGCTGTAGCAAACAAATGCACAGCAAATGCGTCAATTTTGTGACTGGCAGCGCAGGCAAGCTCAAGCTGAGACCGAGCCCTTAAGCTGGCTGCCGACTGCCGGGGCGTGGCACTTAATTGAGCAATTAATTGCAATTAGCCATTAAATGTTGTTGCTGCCAGCGGCAGCAGCAAGATTTGCAAGGCAGCTCAACTGGCTGCCACTAGCTACTTGCCACATGCAACCGCTAATGGTCGACACTTTAGTGCCTCTCGCGGCAGCAGCAACAAAGCTTCGATTATGACCAAGTGCAAATGACAACAAGGCCGCACGTAGTCCGCTAATGGCATTCATTAATATGGCCACGACAAGCGCTGCCGCCGCCTGCCGAAAACAATCCACTTGCCACGCCAAACACCACAATCCAATCACACATGGCCGACTGAGCGAGTGGGCCAAGCGAGTCTAAACACTTCAAAATGTCGCCTACGTGATCTGATTTTCACTCTTTATGGTCGCAAAATACGAAATTAACAAATTTCGTTGTAATGCATGACAGAGTGGCTGAGCGTGTGTGTGGGTGGGTGGGCGTGTCAAGGTCACACGAGAGAGCACAGTGAAGCCATATATCCGTATCTTTGGCAAGAGCAGCACGAGAGCTGGTCACACTGCGACTTCATCTTGCTGAGTTCCATGACTGAGCAGATTTTGATGGCAGCCGAAGTGCTTTAAGAATCACCCAAGACCCTGCTCAGAGTTGTGGAATATCTGATGGGGATTACAATGCAGATGTTAAAATAGATATGCATGAATAGATAACTAATTTTTAAGAAACGTTTCTTTTTGAGCACGCTTCATATAAATGTCAAAAAAATGTATAAAAATAAAACACGTGCAACAGATTTGATTAGCTGAGTTGGATTAATTTTAGACACGTGAAATATGAAAACTAAAAATATAAAAAAAACATAAATTTTTAAAATATTTTTGAGTTATTTTATTTTATTTTAGACACGTGAAATATGAAAACTAAAAATATAAAAAAACATAAATTTTTAAAATACTTTTGAGTTATTTTATTTTATTTTTATTAAAGCAATCTCAAAAGAAGCTGCCAACGGTCCGCCTGGTGGCCTAGGCTTGAGGCAGAGTCTCCAGCTCGAGATGAATTCTGCTGATAAGTTCAAGTTTATTTGAGGAACTTCAAATTGTTTTCTAGCTAAAGCAAGCTATTAAATATGGCTTAAATTTTGTTGACTAAATGCTGTTGGCTTGTGCCACATAAGCATATCAGGCGATATGCAACGATCGCTCAGACAAATCAGCTCAAAGTCCATAAAAACTTCATTAAGAGTTAGCAACTATTGTGCTTAGTTTTTGGCTATTTAGTGACCGAATCGATTCTCGGAATGCTAATTGAAATGCCGAAACGCTTACGCAGCTAATACAGTTTGAAAAACTACTGCAACGGAAATTATAAATGCGCTGCCCCCAGGCGGCTATGTGGCAACAGCCATTAAAAGTCTATCAATATTTGCAGAGCAAATAAATTTATGTAGATTTCACACACACACACACACACACACACACACACACACACACACACACACACACACACACACACACACACACACACACACACACACACACACACACACACACACAAGCTAGCGCGTAATTGAAAACTTTTGGCCTACGATTGTTGCTGGCTGACAGCAGTAGTTGAGGTGAGGAGAGGTGGGCTGGGGTGGCGTGTGGTGGGTTGCGCTGAGGTGTGCAGCTGTGAGGCAAACAGTTATGAGGTGTAGTCGTCTGTGTTCGCATTGGTAAGTGCGAACAGTTGTGAGGCAGTTCGATGCCGGCCCAGACTCGGCAGCTTCACGTGCTTGAGCATGATGCAAAGTTTTTGGCACATCAATAAACTAAACTTGAATGGAGTTTGGGGCGTCGACAGCTGGAAATGTGCCTTAAGCATGCCATGAATTATTTAGTTTCTGTTTACCTTCCACTCTATGCCCGCCGGCCACTGGCTTCGATTCCATTTTATTTCACTCTGTTGCCATTCAGCTGCAACTTTGGCCAATTGCGAGCACGTGCCACACTGGCCGCCGCCTTGATTGTCCTTTAATATGCACCGCAAGGCGCCGCAGTTTGCGCCGTTTGCACTCTGCTTCCTAAGTAATTGTCCTAATTGACCTGCCTGCCTCTAGATGCACCAAATTACCAGTCAAACCTATCGCATTAACTATCCAATTTCCACAAAGTTTCGCCAAGCCGCCCGCCAATCACAATCGAAATCACATTAAGAACTGCGATTCGCAGTTGAATTTTCATTAGGAAATTTGCAAGACAAAAAAAGCTCTTAAGGCAACTTGCGTATTATGCTTTATAGGCCGTAGTTGAGTACATGAGAAGCTCAGAGAAGGGCGCAGCGAAATCGTTAAGCTAATATTACTTACATGAGAATCGCATAGAAAGGCGCTGTAGCTATATGTGTATAGGCCTTACTTGAGCACATGAGATGCGCTTAGAAACGCGAGAGATTTATTTAAGAGAATCGCATAGAAAGGTGCAAAGGCTATAAGTGTATATCCTACGCATGTGAAGCGCATAGAAAGGCGACTTGGTTGCATATATGTCGAAGCCTTTTTATTACTTCAATATAGATATGCATAGGATGGATTTGAGTGCCTGAGAAGCGCATAGAAAGTCGCTTTAGATAGCGGTAGTTTGCCTTCCCTATGAAAGCAGAAAGAGAATTTCAGCATTAAAAAGTTAAACAGAAATGAGTTAAAGCCTGTTTCGTATATATTTAATTAAGAGCAAATAAAACATTTATAAAAAGGTATTCCGAAGTCCTAGCTGTCGGAATTGTGTGAATTCATAATTTTTAGAGTCTTAAAATCAAAAACTCATTTGTAATTCGACACCTGTGGTTGGGCGTGCCTAAGCCTAGGCCAATTTAAGAGCTTACACGCTGTTTGGCTCCTAACAAGCACACGTCCTGCTGCCACATGCCACACGCCACATGCCCCCACGGGCTAATTTAGACGCCGACTTTAAGCCAATTGTTGAAGCGAGCAGGAAGCGCAATGCTAAGCTCATTGGCTTCAGTTCAAGGTCCGATCTATGAATATTTTTCAATAGCAGCGCAGCAGCCCACCTGCAATTACAAATGTCAGAAGTCGTTGCAAAAAAAAAAAAAAAACCATTGGAAGGGAGGAGAAGAGCATCCCCTTGCCATGGCTGCCCTTTGTAAGCTGCAGAGGCAACATCAACGCAGGAGGCGGCTGTAGTCAGGTGGTGCTGCTGCGGCTGGGACTGTGGCTTTGGCTGTGGCATAAGCTGCTGTGGGGCTAAAGCTGTTGCCAACGTCAAACCAAACCAAAGCCACTTATTGGTTGAACAAATTTAATTGGCAGCAGCAACAGGGGCAATGCTGGGGCCGGGGCTAATGCCAATGCTACGGCTGGCGTCGAGGCTGTGTCGGGCAGCTAGCTGTGGCAGCAACAGTGACAGTGGCAACAATGCCAGCGATACGTTAATGCAGGTTAAACTGCCGCCACGGCTGGCCGACCCTAAGCCCAGCAGAAAGTCGCAGTTCCATAAAATTCAATTGAGTTGCAAGTCGAAGTTGAAAGATTTTTCCATTCTTTTCTATTTTTGGTTTTGATTTTGTTTTGTTTTTTTTTTTCTAATGCTCCACTGACTTTAGATGACAACTCACCTGTTTCTGTTATCTCCTTTGCTTGCAGCCAGCTCGGCTGGGCCGCACGAGAAGCGCCTGCTGCACGCTCTGCTGGACAACTACAACAGCCTGGAGCGGCCCGTGGTCAACGAATCCGATCCATTGCAATTGAGTTTCGGTCTAACACTTATGCAAATCATCGATGTGGTGAGTACATAGAATAGTTTTATTCCAACCTGCCAGAAGCTGACAGAAGCTGACACCAAGGCGAATCCAGTCATGCCTCATGGCAATGATCTGCTAAAGTCTAAGAACTCCTATCTCTATAGCTCTTATTTGCACATGGATTGAACAAGGCACAGTCCGTTGAGCTGCCTACCTCGCTTGCCTTACCCCACTCACTGAATGCCAACTGCCGTTCTATGAGATTCTCATAAAATTGAACTTTTCTTACTACCTAATCGCCATGGCTAAGCTATGCAGGGTATTTTTGGGCTGTTCAAGTTGTTGCAAGCTTGTAGCACGTATATACAGGGTATAATCAGGTTGTTCAAATATTAAGTAAACTTGTTTTAGACTAACATTGCTGACCGGAATTTGAATTTATTTAGCTGCGCCCAGACTTTTGACTAAGCTAAAAGCTGAGCTCAGCTGACAGTCGGCAAACATTTGGTAAAATGATGGCACGACACCAATATCTGGAGTGACACAGTGCCCCAGTACAATCCAGTATAAATATGCCCACTCTCACTCTCACTAGCTCCCCATCTCCCTCTCTCCAGTGTGCTCGAGTGCTGTTTGTGTGTGTGTGTGTGTGTATTTATGAGCTTTTTGCAGAGGCTCTGCTGATGGCTGCTGCCGATGAACGACATTATGCGCCAGAGATGCCAACTAGCATGGCAACTACCAAAGAGCCCAAAAACTCCAGCGACGCGTGCAAGACAACAGCACAAAAATTATGCCATGAGTGCACATTATGGCCATTAGCCAGAAGTGCCAAGTTGCCACCGTCGTGGATTATTGTGGCAGCATCAGCAGAACGGAGCCCAAGTGCCGCCACTTGGCAAGGCGCAAAATTCTACAATTTACTCACTGCGCTCGAGTTAAGAGTTGAGGCATAAAGTATTGCCCGTCCGCCCGCTCGTCGATTGCTTTGGCCGCCTCAAACGCTGCCGGATTCCTTAAGTGGAGCATACGAAATGCTTTTAGGCCCCTTAATGACAAGTGAATAAAATGTTTTGGACGCAACTGCTTTCAGAACTTTAATTGTGATTTGATGGCAATTCAGAAAATTTCCAGCCACATTTGATAGGCGTTGACATAGTTGGGATCTAGTCAGAGTTTGAGTCAGTCTGGCTCGTGCTCAAGCCAAGGCTGACACAGCTAAAGTGATACAACTTTCGATAACTATAACTCAACAGATCTTTGAGTTATCGATAACATTTTGCTGCTCAAATATTCAGTAAGGCTTGCCGTTTAATCGAGATTTATCTTATGTCTATCAAAAATCTGATTACATGAGTTTCATGATTCAATCTGACGTCATTTTTGACAAATTTAAGTTGCAAAAAATTCTATGGCAACAAAATTAACGCGAATTTTTAGATGCCATTGGCCTCTGTTCCAGGCGGTGGTCTCCCAACTAACACACACACATACCCACATATTCGGTTACCTGTGTGTGTTGCACTCGTGTATTTGTGAAATGTTGCAAGTTTGTATAAGCTCACCAGGTGAATGCAAATAGTGACAAAGCGACCGTAATTGGATGAAACGGAAATGAGGTAGAAGGAAGCGAACGGGCGGAATCTCTGCTGCTGCTGCTGCTGTTGCTGCCCGCTATGCATTTCACCTGATAAAGTGAGCTTCGAAGTGCGCTAATTAAAAGTGCCGTTACCCGCAAAAAACAGCTGCACGCGCGGCTCACTTTGCCCCGCCCCTTCAGCCACAATTTACAAACGGTTTTTGATTACAAAGCAAGCGCTGAGTGGAGAGTAAAAAAAAAACAGGGAGAAGCTGTCGCTCCTTATAATCGCGCCCAGCTTTAACTAGACAAAGGTGCACTGACGAAAAAGAAGAAGCAACACCAGGTAAAAAACATAGTAGACAGCTTAACAAAACCACAATACAGCAGCCACACGAACGATAACAGCGATGATAGCGAGTAGAGAGTAGAGAGTAGAGAGTAGAGAGTAGAGAGTAGAGAGTAGAGAGTAGAGAGTAGAGAGTAGAGAGTAGAGTAGAGAGTAGAGAGTAGAGAGTAGAGAGTAGAGAGTAGAGAGTAGAGAGTAGAGAGTAGAGAGTAGAGAGTAGAGAGTAGAGAGTAGAGAGTAGAGAGTAGAGAGTAGAGAGTAGAGAGTAGAGAGTAGAGAGTAGAGAGTAGAGAGTAGAGAGTAGAGAGTAGAGAGTAGAGAGTAGAGAGTAGAGAGTAGAGAGTAGAGAGTAGAGAGTAGAGAGTAGAGAGTAGAGAGTAGAGAGTAGAGAGTAGAGAGTAGAGAGTAGAGAGTAGAGAGTAGAGAGTAGAGAGTAGAGAGTAGAGAGTAGAGAGTAGAGAGTAGAGAGTAGAGAGTAGAGAGTAGAGAGTAGAGAGTAGAGAGTAGAGAGTAGAGAGTAGAGAGTAGAGAGTAGAGAGTAGAGAGTAGAGAGTAGAGAGTAGAGAGTAGAGAGTAGAGAGTAGAGAGTAGAGAGTAGAGAGTAGAGAGTAGAGAGTAGAGAGTAGAGAGTAGAGAGTAGAGAGTAGAGAGTAGAGAGTAGAGAGTAGAGCAAGTCCGTGAGTTTCTCTCTCTTTCTCTCTCCCTCCTTATCTCTCTCTCTCTATGTCCCAGCTGAGCTTCTTCTTAGACGGTCAAGCTTGCCGTGCAGCACAGCGATTACAAGCAGAGTAAAGATATCATTGTGTGCTTGGCCTTGGCCGGCTGCTAATTAAGTTGGAAACCCGTGCCGAATCCCAGAGCCAGTTAATAACATTTCGCGGGTTGGAATTGAACGAGCGTAGGCGACGGCACTTGACAGTAATAGTAATGTGCTATGCCAAGGGACGTCGACTGGCATTGGCATTGGTATTGGGCCTGGGATTGGGATTACGATTGGGTCTGGGCAGGGGCAGGGGCTTGGGCTTGGGCTTGGGTCAGCGCTTAGGTTTTGGTGCGCTCGGCAATGGCAGCTCAGTGCTTTGACTTTGGCTAATAAAAGCATCGCATTGTTTGACAATTTGCCATTGCCATTGCCATTGCAGACTTTTGGGACTTCTTTTGGGCCACTAGAAGCCGAAGCCGCCACCTACTGCCACTCGCCCTCTTGCACTCTCGCATCCTGTGTGTAGTGCACTAGTAAATTACAAACATAAATCACTTGATAAGTGACGCTTACGCTGCCCCCAGGCTGCCAGGCTGCTGCTGCTGCTGCTGTTCGTGTAGGAGCAGAAACTTATCAGCTAAACAGCAATCAGGTCAGCAATAGCAACAGCCAAGTACTCATCCCAATGGCTATATGTGGGCGTGTGTGTGTGTGTGTGTGTGTGCAGTTGCACATCTTTTTGTTAAGTTCACTCGAACATAAATTTCTTTAGAATTGTCAATGGTAGCAGCTGCAGCGCCTTAAGCCCACAGACCGAAAACCCTCCAGGTCTCTAGTGCGTGTCACTCCCACTCTACGCCCCCCCCCTCACCCCCTCTCTCTGGCTGTCTCTTCGATGCTCTGCCACACATTTATATATATAAATATATTCCACTGTGTGTGTAATGCTTTTGCTACATACTTGCCTTTTTAGTATCCACCCACACGCGCTGTCATTTGTGCAGCACTTTTGTTGCACTTTGCACTTGGCATTTAATGGATGCAGCATTGTGCGAAAAAGAAAGAAACTAAGAAGCAAATGTTGCAAGTAGGTGGCAACTGGCAACTGGCAACTGGCAACTGGCAACTAGCGACGACTGTGCGGTCGCAGTGACTACGAACAGGAACACGAACACGAACACGCTGCGTATGAGTGATTTTTATGCATCAACAATATTTGTCACACTCGAGATGACTTCAGCTGAGCCCTGTAAGTGCGTGGGCGTTGATTGTTTAATGACATCATTCAGCGTAAATGATTTCTTTACTGTCTGCAAATCTTTCTACAATTTTTTCTGTTTTTTTGTTCGCTGAATTCTTTTATTTGCAAACATTTCATATCGATTTTGGCTCGAAGAATGCGTCAAGACAAATATTTTGATTTGACTTTGTTTTGGGTCAAGCTATGCGGCCTTTTAACTTGTTACTCATTTTCAGCTGACATGCGTCTCCCTGTGTGTGTCTGTGTGTGTGTGTGTGTGTGTGTGTGTGTGTGTCTCTGTCTCTGTCTCTGTCTGTCTCTGTCTCTGTCTCTGTCTCTGTCTCTGTCTCTGTCTCTGTCTCTGTCTCTGTCTCTGTCTCTGTCTCTGTCTCTGTCTCTGTCTCTGTCTCTGTCTCTGTCTCTGTCTCTGTCTCTGTCTCTGTCTCTGTCTCTGTCTCTGTCTCTGTCTCTGTCTCTGTCTGTCTCTGTCTCTCTCCCTCTCTCTCTATGTCAGTCTATCTGTCTGTCTTGGTGGCTGGCTTTATAGCCTGTGTCATAGCCACAGTCATGTCTGCGGCAGGAAATGGTGTGTGTGTGTGTGTGTATGGCTCCAGCTCCAGCTCTGCTCCTGCTCCAGCTTCAGCTTCAGCTTCAGCTCCAGCTTCAGCTCCAGCTCCACTTCCACTTCCACTTCCACTTCCACTTCCACTCAGTCTGTGTATTTTAAAGTAATTTTTATGCTGCTTTATGTGGGACGTGCCTTTTACGCAATTTGTCTACATTTATGCGCCCCCCATTGGCCGCCCTCTGCTTGCAACACCTGCTCGCTTGTCGGCTTTTGTTGGTTTATGCCACAAATCCCAGCTAGATGAAGTCCATAATGCCGAAAAATACGAAATATTTGTATCCGTTTCCGCTTCTCTCGTGCAGCATCAAAAACAAAAATTGTGCGTAACTCTCAACCCCACCACTACGCGCCCCCAACTCAGCACCCTCTCTGCCTGCCTGCCTGCCTGCGTGCGTGTGTGTGTGTGTGTGTGTATCGAGCGATAAGATGCAGAGCTTCCAACAGATTTGGTGGCTTTTTATTGCGCTGAATATGTGCGTTTAGCTGCTGCGGCCTCGATTCGCTCCCTCGTTTATTTCTTTTTTTTTTGGTTTTTTGTTTTTG